CTCCGACTCGGGCTCGGGCTGGGGCTCCGACTCGGGCTCCGACTCGGGCTCGGGCTGGGGCTCCGACTCGGGCTCCGACTCGGGCTCGGGCTGGGACTCAGACTCGGGCTCGGGCTGAGCCGCAGGCTGCCGTGTCCTGCGGACTGTCCGGCCCAGCGCTGCCGCCCCGGCTCTCGGAGCTGGCTAAGGGCGTTCCTGTCCGGCCGTGCCGAGCAGAGCGCTGCTGTGCCCGCGCTGCTGTGCCCGCCCTGGCCGAGCTGCCCTGCAGGAGCCGGGTGGGACTCGGCCTCTGCGGGCGCTGTCACCGCTCTGGGCACACCGCGGGTGCTCCCAGGGCCGTCTCTGGCCCGGGCTGCCCGGATGCAGCCGGGGCGGAGTCCAGCGCTGCCGGTCTCGGTTCGTTTCGCGCTGCCCGCTGTGCTGGTGCCGCGCCGCTGTTTGCGCCCTGCCTGAGCACCTGGAGGGGCTCAGGAGAGCCCCCTGTGCCACGGCGTCCCGCAGCCTGTGCCGTTCCGTGCCTGGAAATGGCAGGGCGACGAGCCATTAATGTTTAATGTCTGAGCGGGGCTGCATCTGCTGGGCTGAGGGCAGACACCCCGCGGAGCGCCATTGGTGTGCTGGCCCTGCGCGGGCTCCTGAGGGACAGCTCGTCCCGCAGAGAACAAAAGCCGAGTTGGAGCGTTGCCAGTGACGGGAGGCCGCTGAATGAGGGCTCTGGGTGAGCCTGTGGCCCTGTGTGTGCCGCCCGGAGACCGTGGTTTGTGCTCGGGCCACCCATGGCCGGGGCTGCACAAGGGCCCTGCGGGGCTGGCCAGGGACAGCTGAGACACCCGTGGGGAGATGGCAATGGGCCGGTCCTTGTGGGACAGCCGGGGGCAAGCTGGCACAGGGACAAACTCGGCCTTTGTCACACGCCGAGGGGTGGCCGTGGGCTGGAGCGACCCGGGCAGCGCTGGCCCAGCGGCTCCTGGCCGGCTCAGAGCCCTGCTGCAGCCGGGAGCGAGCTGGGAAATAACCCACGGCACTGTCCCTGCACTGCGGGCACGGGTGGGGCAGTGGCCGTGGTTTGGGGGGCAGGGGTGGGGCACTGGCCGTGGTTTGGG